CAACGTGGTCGGGTCGTCACACGTGGCCGTGATGAGTTGTTCCATGGTCTGATTTGTCCGTTCTGTCTGTCCGTCGGTTTCGGGGTGGTATGATGAACTGAACTGCAGTCGCGTGCCGAACTGCTGCCACAGGTTCCGCCAGAAGTTGCTGGTGAATTTCGTGTCGCGGTCGCTGATGATCGCGGCTGGTATCCCGTGCAGTCGAACGACGGTGGAGATGAAGAGGCGTGCTGTTTCTTCGGCTGTGATTGATTTTTTGCAGGCTGCGAAATGTGCCATTTTCGTCAGTCGATCGACGACGACCAGGATCGCGTCGTTCCCACTCGCCCCGGCTGGTAACCCCGTGACGAAGTCCATCGTCACCTGCTGCCAAGCACGCTCTGGGGGTGGTATCGGCTGCAACTGTCCCGCCGGCCGCTGTCGTGATGATTTCATGAGCTGACAAGTGGGACACGATGCCACGTGTCGTTGTACGTCGGTCAACATTTCGGGCCAGTAATAATACCGCTGCAGCTGCTGCCGTGTTTTTTCTACTCCGAAATGCCCCGAGGTAACTCCGTCGTGTGCCTCCTGTAACAGTAATTCCCGTAGCAGTGTATACCCAGGCACCCAAATGCGGTCAGTCCCGGTTTTTACGTAATAGACTCCCTTTGCTGCTGCGAACTGTTGCGAATTTCCCCCTGTGAAGAATGGATCCGTTTGGTACCCGTGGGTGAATAGGCATGTCAGTAGCGGGCTTGTCTGGGCAAGTAGTATTGCGTGGATCTGGGCAGTGGGGCGGGTCAGTGCGTCGGCAATGTTGTAAGTGACCGTGTAGTGAAAGTTGGACTCGAGGAAATCGAGCCAGCGAATCTGTCGTGGGTTGAGGTGTGGCTGTGCGCGAAGGTACTGTAGTGATTTATGGTCTGTCCGTACTGTCACGTCCGCGCCAGTCAAGTAACAGCGCCATACTTTGAACGCGTGCACGATCGCAAGCATTTCGCGGTCGTGTATCGGGTAATTTTTCTCGGGCGGATGCAGTTTTCGTGACTCGTATGCGATAGGCTGTAGGCCATTGCCGAAATCCTGTAGCAGTACGGCTCCGATGGCGATATCGCTTGCGTCGGTAACTACTTCGAATGGGCGGTGTGGGTCGGCGATGCGCAGGACGGGCGGGGAACAGAGAACATTTTTCAGGGCAGAGAAGGCAGCATGCTCTTTCTCCCCCCACGTAAAAGCGACCCCCTTCCGCAGTAAGTCCGTCAGTGGGGCAGTTAACCGTGCCATATCGGGGACGAACTGACGCACATAATTAACGAACCCTAAAAAGCTCTGCAGCTTCGTGATGTTCGTCGGGGGATGCCACGCTTTTACCGTATCCAGCTTCTTTGGGTCGATTTCAACTCCAGCCTCCGAAATAACGTGCCCCAAAAATTCTAACCTATCCTGGAAGAACTCGCACTTGGAACCCTTGGTCAGTAATCTGTGCTCGTCTAAAACCTTAAACACTGCTTCCAGATCTGCTAAGTGCTGCTGCTGATCCCGGCTGTAAACTAGGATGTCGTCGAGGTAAACTATGACACATTTATCTAAGAGCGGCCTAAATGCCTCGTTCATGGTCATCTGAAAAGTCGCCGGTGCGTTGGTCAGCCCGAATGGCATCACAGTGTACTCGAAGGACCCGTACCTAGTCCTGAAAGCTGTTTTGGCGCAGTCCGATGGTTCGACCCTAATCTGATGGTAACCTCCCTGTAAATCTATTTTTCGAAAAAACCCGTGCTGTTCGCAGTTGGTCGATCAGTTCGTCGGCGCGGGGAATGGGGTACCGCGACTTGACTGTTACCCTGTTCAGTGCTCGGTAGTCGATACACATGCGAAAACCCCCGTCTTTTTTCGGCGTGAATAGTATCGGTGCGGCGAACGGTGACGAGCTCGGTCTGATGAATTTTTTCTCTAACAGGTAATCTAACTGCTTCCTTAGTTCGTCGAGCTCGTGCTGTGTCAGTCTGAACTGGCGCTGTACGGTTGGCTGTGCTCCGGTTCTAATTCGATTCGGTGGTCATGTGCTCGCTGAGGTGGCAGTCCTTCCGGTAAGTCGTCGGGGAAAATCCCGGGGTATCGTTTCAACAGTTCCTGTAATTCGGGCGGTACGGCTGCCAGCAGTTTCTTGAAATCACTCAGCTGCTCTGCTTTCTCTACTACTGCGATGTCTACTGCGTACACGTCAGCTCCAGCAGCGACAGCCCGTTTCATTGTGATGGCGTTGACGTGTACCGTTGAAGACTCGGGCGACTGCCAGCGAGGTAACTCGACCCAGTTACCACTACTTCGCACGGTGCAGCTACCCGTCGTCCAGTCAATTCGCGGGTTATACCGTCGCAGCCAATCACGTCCCAGTAAAATATCGTGCCCATCCAGCGTCGTTGCGAGCATTTCAGTGTAAACCCGAAATTTCCCCCGCAGCGGACTTTGACTCTCTCTACCTTTTCCCGTATGGTCAGTGGCGTGCCATCGACTAAGCGTGCGTCTATCTCCGGTAAGCAACGGCTAAGTGTCAATTGCAGTTTTCGTGCGGTTGCGGTATTAACTAAACTGTGGCTTGCTCCTCCGTCGATAAAAATCTTCACTGCTGCTCGCTGTATTTTCAAGTGGATCAGTACTGGGCAATCCGTCGTTGTACCCTCCTTATTCGTCCGAGTCCGATCGATAGCATGAATCGGTACCGTGACTCGGTGAGGGTCGGTGGGGTTGGGCGAGTAGGCAGTCTCGTCAGTAGTTGGCCCGATTCCTACTGACTGCTGGCGTTTCCCTGCTTTGGAGACTCCCTCCCCTGCTCTGCTCCGCGGCGCCTTAGCTCCTCTGGGCATTCGCTCTTGCGATGGCCCGGCCTGTTGCAAGCAAAGCAGCGCCCCTTAAACGGCGCGGCAGCTGCATTCGTCGCAACAGCATGTACAGTGGCGTGCTCGATCGGTCCCCGAGGACGATGTCCATAGTAGGACCCCGGTCTCGGACGGCGTAAAATGTCGATTTTCTCGGCGAGCACGAGAATCTCGTTGAAGTTCGAGAGCCCGCGTAGCATGATTTCGTGCGAGATGTCCGGCTTCAGCCCTCCGACGTAACGGTCCACCCGCTCCGCTTCGTGCATGTAGCCGACTTGCGAGAAAACCACTCGTATAGTCTTGAACCGATCCAAGCTGCCGCCAAGTGCGCAATCTCTGACGCGCCGAAATAGAAGCCGCGATCGGCTCGAAGCGCGCCCGAAGCCCTGCGCACCACGCATCCCACGTGCTGTATTGGGCGGTCTCGCAGAATGAACTCCAGGTGACAGCTGGGCCCGTGGGCCCTTCCTCTTGCGACGGTGGCTCGTAGGCGCGTGGCGACGTCACGATGACTCGCCACCAGTCCATGGCGGGGCCCCTCAGCAGCGAAACGGCATACCGAATCTTCGCTGCGTCCGACTCGACGTAATTCGCGTCGAAGAAGACGTTCATCGTGAAGACCCACGATTGAACCGTCGGACCTCCACGCTGGCTCGGGTCGAAGCAGGGCGGGCGTTGCGGCTTGAGTGGCATTGGTGCCATAATGGCCTGTTCGCCACTTGTCGCCGCGAACTCCACGTGCCGACGGGCTTCGCGAGGCTCCCGCGGGCTTGGTGCGACCCTGTTTCCTCCCATGCCAGGCATCGGCTGGGCGGCGCCATCGCTGGCTGCGCCTGAGCGTTGTCCCACGCTGTTGTTTTGTGTCGGTGTGCCGGACGAGATGACGATCGGCTCGTCTGATTGTGCAGATGCATTTGTCGGTGCGTGTGGTGGCGCTGGAGTGTTCATCGTTGATTGCTAACGCGCGGAGTCACGTTCCGCCGTGAGCGTCGCAATTTCGAGCGCCGAATCTTCAAGTTGGCGCACCAGACGGTCGAGCTGCTCCTGCGTCAATGTGGCGAGCGTGAATTCGGCCATGGCGGGGGTGTCGGGCGAGCTCAGCGAGAGCCTCGGTCGTGGCCGTGCGTGCTTACGAGAGAGCACTACGAGCGGCGGTGCTGTGTCGCTGAGAGACGTCTACCCCCCCCAAAAATTGAGATAGTGGGGAAGCGAAGGTGTGGGTGCGGTCCGAGAGGAGATCGTAGGCTCTGATACCAAGTGTTACGAGTGCAATTGAGTGAACGAACGAGAATTGCACTATCGAAGCAAGAGTACAATGAGCGGAGGCATGAGCGAAGAATATATAGCGAAACTACAGTGGTAACGGTAATGGACTGTGGTTGTCGCGCGACGGGCCTAGGACTGAGGTTGGGAAAAGTGTCGAAGCGGAGGCCCGGAGCGCGGGTTACCCGCCGAGCCGTGAGGTCGGGGTGTGATGTGCGAAGGTGGCGGGCGGATTGTCGATGCGAGGGTTGCGAGTGGTAACGGTGCTGACTGTGGTGCTACAGTGATGTACGCGTTGAGCAGGGATGCGAAGTAAGGAAAAGGAATTTTCCTTACAGTAAGCGTAGTTAGGCTTTACCGTCAGCAACTCAATCAGAAGGTAACTAGCAAGTGGTAATGCGGTGTGGAATTCGGTTGCTGTGGCGCCAGAATCGAAAAATGGTAGTTTCAAGGTGTCAATCAGACGTGGCGTGGAATCTAGTCTGCTTCGTTGTACGCTACAGCCCCGGAAGTGGACTCAAGTACGAAGTGACGCATAATCATTGTACAGAACTTTAATTATGAAGGAATATAATATTACAGGAGAGAAACAGTATATATAAATATCTCTGGCAGAGGAAAAAAAAAAGACAAGATTCAGAGACGCCGCAGCAAAGTGCTTAGCGCTCAAAAACAACCCCAAAAGGAAATTATGATAATCCAACGCGGACAGATGTAATTGGCCCATATATTTTAGAAAGCATCCCCACCCCACCATCACTCTTGTCGCCTCTTTGCCTCTCGCTGCCTCCGCTGCTCCCCCAGCTGTTGCAGCTGCAGTGTCCATCTGACCCTCTTCCTCCATCCACTCTAGCTGTTGCTTCTTAGCCTGTTTCATCTCTAACTGTCAACCACCCCACTGCTCAATCCCAGCAGCTGTCTCTGCCGCTCCACCTCGGCCTCTAGCTGCCTCTGCTGCTCCTCCAGCTGTTGCAGCTGCAGCTGCAGCAATCGCTTCTCCTCCTCTACCTTGCCCAGCTTTCCCTGCTGCCCCTGCTCCTTCTCACCCTCCTTGCCTCCTTCCTCCCCTTCTGCCTGCGCATCCCTCCCATCCTCCTCCTCCTCGCTATCACTGCCTGTGTCAATTAAGAGCGTTCGCACACCTTTCCCGTCCTTACCCGCACGCCTTGACCCACCCTCCTCCTTTGCCTTAAACCGCCCCTCAGTGCTGCCGTTCCCGCCCTCGTTCACACCAACTTCATCCATCCCAGAAGCACCGATGCCACTCCCCTCCTCTCCACTTCCACTCCCCTTCCTCCGCCTCCTCTCCTCCCTCTTCCTCGCCTCCCCACCCCCCTCATTCATCGTCCTAGTTCGGGACCAAGACCGCCCCATCTCCCCTCCCTCCCTCCCCTTTCCCCCCTCCAGTTCCTCCTCTCCCGCGCTGTCTTTCCTCCTCCACTCCTCCCTCTTCCTCGCCTCCCCATCTCCCTCATTCATGGTCTTGGTTCGAGACCAAGACCGCTCAAACTCCCCACCCTCTCTCCCCTCCTGCTCCTCGTCTCCCCCATTACTCCCCTTCCTCCGCCTCCTCTCCTCCCTCTTCCTCGCCTCCCCATCACCCTCATTTATCGTCCTAGTCCGGGACCAAGACCGGCCCATCTCCCCTCCCTCCCTCCCCTTCCCCCCTTCCTCCTCCTCCTCTCCTCCCCCCTCCTCCTTCCGCCGCTTCTCCTCCTTCCTCTTCCGCTCCTCCCCATCTCTCTCATTCATCGTCTTGGTTCGAGACCAGAGCGAGCGAACGTCAGGCACGAATCGGAAGCTGCTCAGGCTGCCAAAGAAAGAGCCCTCGCGAATGCTTCTAGGAGACTTGCAAGGCAGCCCATCGGAAGTAGCAGCAGAGGAAGGACCCGCATTCCAATCGGTGTTAGTATCTGCAAACAAACGTGTGGCCTTCAGAGGAATCTCGCCCTCCCTCCTCCCACTGCCTTTGCTCCCACCCTTCTTCCCCCCGTCCTTCTCCTTCTTCTCTCTTGCCTTATCCTCCTTTCCTCTCCTCTTCTTCTCCCCCTCCCTCTCCCCTTCATCCTCCGTTTTCCCGCCGTCCTTCCTCCCCACCTCCCCCAACCTACTTTTCCGATTGCTCCCAACCTCCTTTCTAGCAGAACCACTCCCTGCTGCACCGGCCTTCCTCCCACTCCCTCTTCGCCCACTCCCTCCTATCCTACTCCCGTCTGTCTCATCCGAACCGATCTTTCTCACATCCGAACCGATCCTCCTCACATCCTCTCCCTGAGAGCCCACCTTTCTATGCTTTGCACGCTCCTTCTCACTCTCCTTTGCACTCTCCTTCACACACACCTCCTCCTCATCTGTCTCATCATCCTCTAGCATTCGCTGCAGTTTACTCACCTTGCGCCTCTCCTTTGGACTCTCCTTCTCCTCTTTTACTCCCTTCTTCTCCTCCTCCTGCTCCCCCCTCTCCATCGTCTCCTTCCCCTTCACCTTGTCACTTTCCTCCTCCTTCTCCTCGTTCCCCTCCCCTTCCTCTTCCTCCTTTGCCTGCTGCTCCTCCTGCTCCTTGGACCTCCTGCCATCCCTCTCGAAATCTCCACTCCCCTTACTCCCCTTAGACCTCCGATCCCTCTCCATATCCCCACTCCCTTTCGACCGCCTTTCCCTGTCCATATCCCCGCTCCCTTTCTTTCTCCTCAACCTCTCCCCCTCCTTCCTCTCTCCCTGCCCCTCACTCTCAGGATTTCCCCTCTCATCCCCACCCAAAGCACCCAACGATCCGACCCGTTTGAATGGGCCATCCGGCCCGCCTTTGGCGTTTTGAGACGGCGAATTCTGAGACAATGGAGAAGTCTCAACATAGGACTGACTCTTCCCGGCCCTCCTCCCTCCCTTGGGAGTGCTAGCCTGGCTCCTCGGCTTACCACCCACCCTTCTCGATCCACTTACCCCTTTCTCCTCATCACTCTCATCATCATCTATCCTCCTCTGCAGCCTCCCTGAAGCCCTACCCTCACGCCTGTCACCCTTTTGAGTCAACTCAGAGCGTTCCTTTTCCTCATCGCAACCACCATCATCACCACCATCACCATCATCATCATCATCCTCATCATTCATCCTCCTCTGCAGCCTCCCTGAAGCCTTACCCTCGCGCCTATCCCCCTCATAAGACCCACCAAGCCTCCCCTTCCTTCCCTCACCAGCAAGTGGCCCCTCATTCCCTCCCCCCTCCTCCTCCCCCTCCTCTCGCGTACTGCATTCACCCCCACCGCACTCAACCCCGCTCCTGCCGCCATCCGTCTCCCCCTTCTCGCCTTCGTCCCCTCGCCCTCCATTCACATTATCCTCCTCCTCCATCTTTCTCTCCAGCCTCCCCCCCTCCCTCTTGCTCCCTTGCCTGCCTGCACTAACAGCTGAAACTTCTTTTCCCTCAGCCGTGGGCGAACCTGCTTTTCCCGAAGCACTAGCCGAACCTGCTTTTCCCGAAGCAGTGCCCGAACCTGCCTTCCGCTCCTCTTTGCCCTTCTCCTCTTTCCCATGCACGCGCCTCCCCTCCCGTTTCCTCGCACCCTCCTCCTTCTCTTCCTCACTGTCCTCGTCTAAGCTCCTCTGCAGCTTTCCTCCTTTCTTGCCTCCCTTAGCAGGAGCAACAGGCACTGACACGCTAGCATCAACACCTCCCTTGTTACCCGCCTTTGCTCTGACACCCTCCTCCTCATCCTCCTCCTCATCCATCCTCCTCTGCAGCCTCCCTCCTTTTTTACCCGCCTTCGCCTTTACACCCTCCCCTTCCTCCTCCTCATCCTCCTCCATCTGCCGCTGCAACCTTCCTCCTTTCTTACCTGCCTTCAGCCTCACACCCTCCCCATCGTCCTCCTCCTCATCCATCTGCCGCTGCAGCCTTCCTTTAGGAGTCATAGGGGCCGTCACACCCGCCCGCTTACCAACACCTAAGCCCGACCTTCCCAAATCACCCTCCCCCGCTCCTCTCCCATTCCCCCTCTCCCCGTCCCCCTCCTCCTCATCATCACTCATCTGCCGCTGCAGCCTCCCCCCAGGAGTCCTGGCGCCTCTCACAGAGGGTCCGGTTGTTGCTGCAGCGCCTGCTTTCCTGCCAGGCGGCACTAGGTGCAGCTGGGGTTCTTCCTGTAACACCAGTGGTGGTAGGTTTAAGGGTGCCATTCTCCCTGATCCTCCTGGTTCTTTCCCTCCCACTCCAAACGCTCCTGCTATTCCTCCTCCTGCTCCTCCTGCCCCTATTCCTGCTGCTCCTGCTCCTCCTGCCCCTTTCCCCCCCCACGCTCCTGTGGAAAACGTGTTCGCGCGCGCGGGAAACGCAGCACCAGCGCCAGCACCAGCAGAAGCACCAGCATCGGGAGCAGAAGCAACGCCAGCGCCTGAAGCACCAGCAGTGGCAGCGGCGGCAGCAGCAGCAGCAGCGGCAGCGGCTGCGGGCACCCAGGGGGAATAAGCAGGAGAGCCTTTCACAAAGGTTGGAGCCTTGGGCGTTCTCGGAGGGACAGCATTGCTGCCGCTGGCGCCTTTGCTGTTGCTGCTGCCGGTGCTGGCGGCATTGCTGCTGCTATTGCTGTTACTGGTACCACCACCACCACTCGGTGCAGAGCGGTTCATGGTGAATATCCTACCCAACGAAGCACCTTTCGGGGTCTTAGGCGCAGCTCCACTTCCCCCTGACCCCCCATCTCCGCCTTCCCCTTCCCGCTTCCCTGTCCCTCCTCCAGCTTCCGCTCCCTCTCCTTCCTTCTCCTCCTCCTCCTCCTGCGCTTTTAGCAGCGCCTGCTGCTCCTTCCACCTCTCAGTCTGCTTCTCAAACGCCCCTAGCGCCTTGGCGACGGAAGCAAGGGAGTTGAGCCGCTTATTGGCCCCAACCTTACGCCCAGATGCGCCTAGGCTTCCCCTCCCGCCTCCATTCGCTATACTGCTTCCGTCTGCGACAGCAGTTGCCGCCGTTGCTGCTGTTGCTGCGTCTCCTGCTGGCCCTGCCCCTCCTGCTCCGCGCCCCTTCCCCTTTCCCCTGTCCATACTCAGTTGAGGCTGCCCCAGCATTGGTTTAGACCCAACGGCAGCAGCGTTGCCGAAGCTCTTCTGAGGGGCGAAATTCGGCACGTTCCGTCTGCTGCCTTGCTGGTGTAGGGGTGGCACTGACAATGGCGGTTGCTGCTGCTGCTGCAGCAGCAGGTGTTGCTGCTTTGGGGTAAAAGAGCCAACACGAGCAGTAGCAGAAGCAGAGCCTGATGCCACATTCGGCCTGGCACCCACTCCCTCCATGCATCTTCGACTCTCCCCTCCTCTGTTCGCCCCCTCCCCTACCCTGTTCGCCCCTGAATACACCATCACAGGCACAGCACTGCCGCCGCTGCTGCTTCTGCTACACGGCACGTTCACCCCGGCCCCACGATAGCTGTCAGAATTGCCGTATCCGGCTGTAGCAACAGCACGCCCAGCCGGCCCAACACCTGCCGCAGCGTTCCCGCTGGCTGTAGCAGCCGCTACAGCCATGTCAGCGCCAGCAACCCCAGCCGGCATCACATCAGAGAGGTCAGAGACTGTGCGGCGGTGCACGCGTTGCTTCCCGGTGCCAACTGGGGAAGGTGATATCCAGGCCGCTACATCCGCCCCTGGACGCTGGCACCCAGGTGACAGCTGAGGGGGGGGCGCTCCTGGGGGCGGCGGTACCCACTCTGCTACATCCGCGCCTGCTACTCCCCCACCCGCTACAGCCCCTGTGAATCGGCCGTTCGGACTCCTCTCCGCACCATAGTTTGCAGCAGCGGCAGCGGCAGCAGCAGCAGCAGCGTGTGTGTGAGCTTTGTGATGGGGCGGCGGAAGGGGGGACCTTTGCAGGTCGCACGGGCTCGCTGCCACGTGGCCGGACGTCATGATGACGTCAGAAACGTCGGAAAACGTGCGGCGATGGCTTTGGCTGCGCTGCTGCTGCGGCTGATGATGCTGCTGGTGGTGATGATGCTGCTGCTGCTGGTGGTGCTGCTGCTGCTGCTGCTGTTGCTGCTGGTGCCACGATTGCTGCTGATGATGCTGTTCCCATAGCTGCTCCTGACGAAACATATTCTCACCCTGGGCCTGAACCTGACCACCAACCTGAGCCTGCGGACTGTAGCGATGCTCCTTATAACGAGGATCCCCATGATGCCCGTGGTGATGCTCAACGAACCCCGCTGACTCAGCGCCGCGCGCGTAAGGCGGAGGCGCCATTTGCTGCTGGAGGCGGCCACGCGCTGTGTGGCACGCGCGTAGCTCTGCGGCGTGGGGAAGGGGCGGGGGTGGTGCGGCATGGTGAGGTTCGGCATGGTGAGGTCCGGGATCGGGCCGACGAGGTTCGGAAAGATGGGGTGTGGCACCGTGACGGAGAGGTATGGGAGAAACCAATCCGCAGGAACGGCAAGAGATTGAGGATGGAATGGATGGGTAGAATTGAGGTCTGGTTGTTTGTCTTGCTTGTGTTTGCATCTCCCTTGTAACGAGGATGGAATGGATGGGTTATGACTTGGTTGGAGCTACCTTGAGACAAACCTTCCTTTGCTACAGAACTAATATTCTAGAGACGCCAACATCCAGTTTCCATCGCCAAAGAGAAAGTCGCTCACTCATCACTGGGGACAACCAGGAATTCGTACGCGTTAGTAACTCACCAGGATACAGGTCATCGTCGTTGTCTCCCTCGTCGCCAGCCGTATTGCCAGCGCCCACCGTCGTCCCCGGCAAGCCTCGCTCCGCCGACTTTTCCGACGACGCAGTGCGCGAAACGTGAAGCAGCGGGAGGGTCTTGGCTCGATTCAAGCACAGATCGGCCTCGTCCTCTTCCTCTCCCGCCTCCTCGTGGCCCTCAGCTTCGCCCTCCTCTTCTTCGTCCCACTCCTCTTCCTCCTCTTCTTCCCCCTCCTCTTCCTCCTCGCATTCCTCCTCATCCTCCCCTCCTTCGGCCATCATCGCATCCCAGCGGCTGCCCGCCGCATCCTGCATGGCGACATGATCTGCGACATCTGCGACGCCGTCCCACTGCTGCGATGCTCCCTCTGCGACAAAGGCCCCATCCGCCACGTCGCGAAAAGCCGCTCCCGCTACGTGAGCGCCTGACACGCCGCCGCCGATGCGCGACGTCAACGCGTCGTCGTCTCTAGAATCGTAGTCGAGGCGCGCGTCGAATGATCGCCTGCCCTTGCGGGTGGTCATCTCAGCTCTTCCCGCCGCTAAGTTCGTCGGCTCGGGTTCAAAATATCCACCGCCGCGTCTCGCGGGAGTCGCGAGCTCGGATGTCGTCGCGGAGCGGTTCAGCGCGCCGAGGCCCTGGTACGGCGCTCCCGCTCCCGCAATGAGCGGAGGCAGTGACGCCGATTCTTGAGTCGACTCGTAAATCGCCTCCTCGTACCGCTCTTCCGCGGGGAACGGAGGGAGTGACGACGAGCCGTCGTCGTAATAGTCGTCGTCGCCGACTGGAATCGCCCACGCAGTTCCGTCGCCGGTTGTGCCGAAACGGGACACATCAGGCCCCGGCGCGCCGGTCCCGTGAATCGGCCCCTCGTAAGTTTCCGCCCAAAGGTCGCAAGCGTTCGCCATTTCCCACGGGTCCAAATCTGGGGGAAGATTCTGGGGCGGTACTGCTGCTCGGTATCTGCCGCTTAAGCCAATCCCGTCGCCCTCGCCCATTCCGCCGATCCCGCCGATCCCGCCGTTTCCGCCGTTTCCGTCGTTCCCGCCGTACTGGTCAAAGCTGTTTTGGTGCGAATGCGGCTGCACACTCGAAGAATGGCCTCGTTGGGTGCCATTCCCTCGAGGCCCGGGATGATCGGGAACGAAATCCATCGCATGATGCGGCGGCCTTTGCGGAGGCCGCCATACATCTGCATTCGCACCTAAGACAGCACCGGCGCGCCGCGACGGCATTGAAGAGCTATCGTCTGACGAAACGGCCCGTAAAAGTTTTTCAGAGTCGAACGTAGGGGTAATGGTAGGGTCGGCCAAGGCACAAAGATTCTCTTGAGATCCCGTCGCTACCAGCGGATCAAGCGGGGTGTCAGGCGATTCGACCAAATCCCCCAGCCACGGCTGGGATGCTGCTTTGGAGATCCTAGACTTGCAGGAGGGATATGATTCTACGAGCGGAATCGTGGTGCTGAGATATTGAGGAATTGAGGTATTGCTGGGATGCTGGTGGAAGGATGAGGTCGCAGATTTACGACGGCTCGTCATTCGCAATGTGCAAGAGGAGGAGGCACCTGGATCTCCAGCTCTTAGAACGTCCTAAGACGGCACACCTTGGTGGCGTCGGATAAAATGCTCTTGTGCTGAAAAATGCCTCTGATTCGTCACATACTCCTGAACTGTCCGACACGTATTGAGGACGGAAGATCTCGCCTCGTTCGCAGCGAGCTTTACGACCTTTATATCCAAGAAACAATCCGACAGGAGCTGTGATGAAAGAAAACGCGTTTTGGACAACCAATATGTAGTTCATCAGCAGTGGACAGAGGTGTTATGCAAAACAACAGGTGAACATGACTCTCAAACACGGAGTAGGGGGTGAGAGGAAAGTAGCGGCTCCGCGTTCAAAAACGAGTTCTCTCGAGGTGAGAGTTTTCGGGGCGACCAAGCTCTAGGGGTGACAATGAAGCTCGAGGTGACGAAGCTCCATAGGCGATGCCCTCGGTTACTGTACTTCTGCCCTCATGGTACCCCCATTGAACAAATGAGCTGCGTGTGCTCGTTTGGATTCTTGCATGTACATTTCATTTTGAGTTTCCCGTTTAGGGTGCTTGAAATATATCGTCAAAAGAGCTTGATTTCTTTTCCGCGATGCTCTGCTTCAAGGAGCCAATAACGGAAATAAAATCGCTTTTGAGAAAGGATGTATATCTATCCCGAGAAGTTCTGGATATACGTAGAAAGAACCCTCAAAAGTCTGCTGCAAACACACTACACCGTGCTTTGTTTTTACGAGTCCTGAACTTCATGCGTCTGAGATCTGACAAAAAAAACAGATTCGACCATAGGCGGTCCAACAGACCAACACGATCCTTCGCGGCTTTACGACTCTCCCACAAATTTTGCTCCATCACCCTGCATAAGGAGCTTCCAGACCAGAGTTGACCTCATCCTAATTTAGGTACTCTTCTGCTTGCTACCTCTCCAGGACCAAGAGCCACCTGAGTAATCTTGCTGTGAATTCCTCGCGCATGTGTTTGTGCAGCTTTCGAGAAGGGGGAAGAGGGGGGTGGAGGGGGTGGTGGGGTGGGTGGAAGGGGGGAGGGGGGCGGGGTGGGGAAGAGGCGACTGGAGGTTGAGGTGAGGGTGTAGGTTATATAATGAGGGGGCAGACTGGACGAGTGTGGTAGGGTGCCCCTACTAGTTTGATATCGATTGATATGTAGGGCGAGTTACCAGAAACGAGATGACAACTCCGTGTAACAAATCACGATCACTCGAAAGGTCCAGTTCACAACCTGTGGAAAGTTCCCAGTACACGTTCTGTATGTTAGATTCTTATCCTGTATTTTGATACCGTTTGTCGGCATGCAGGGAGTTGACTGAGTGGGGGCTGAAACTACGGTACACGGAAGGGGTTCAATCTGGCCCATCACAAAACTAATACAATTATCTCAAAGGTTTTGTTCAATCATGATACAACTTGTTTCCTTTAGATTGTGTGAGTGTCTATCAACAAATCTTGTATTACATGCTTTATTGTAACCTCCTCTTTAATTGTTCAAGTGCATTGTTAGGCTCTGGAATTTGCTCTCTGAAATTTTGCTTTCTGACTTGGATTTTATTCCGCACATGGGCTGTCTAAATTCTCCGCACATGGCGGGTCGAATTCAATTCTAACATTGTTCTCGCAAATTTGGCTCAAGTCGTGTTTTTTTCTTGACGAGTCAGCAGCGCGTAACCTTTTTCAGGTCTCGGAAAGGGACTTTCCACGCCTGACTACGTGTCGAAGGTGAAAATAAGCGCCTAAAAACCAAATCTAAGCCACCAATGTTGAAGGTGTAACGATAACGAAAAAACAGCTGTATATTACTACAACTGTTATTGTTTATAGTCTGACAGATCAACATCGCAGCATGCGGACTATGTGGCAAAACCTTCAAACCCCAGGCAAAACGCGATACTTGTAGTCCCGTTCAGGAAATTGCATGAAGAGTGGTTGTTTTGCTACTAGTTTCTGGAGTTTGGCATTTACTTAGATTTGGACCGCGCTTGCTTCAACTTCCAGTCGCACGGTTTTCCACGCTGATCAATGTCGCATGACTATCGGTAAAAAAAAAAACAAAATCAACTATGATTTGGGGGTCGAATAGTAACCCAAAAACTTAATTTCCACCCAGTAAGCGAGATAAATGAGATGTCATCGTCGATCGCGCTGGAGTCAGCGCGACCGGATTGAGAAGTATTCGCGGTCAAGAGAAACAATTACTTACAATTTCAAAGTTAAAATATCGAATCGATAATCCCTTCTTCATTGTTTTCCATGAATGTTGGGCTGGTTTGATCTGGATCCTCTGATTGGCTGCGGAGCTGATTCGGTCAAGCTGCCAAATTTCCCGTCAAAAACGGGACTATAGAATTCGGGCCAACCCTAGGCGAAAAGAGACTCTCTCAGCGAAGGCCTCTAACCCGGAACATCTGTACTCCTCTCAGCACGGTTTTCTGGCGAAGTTGTTCAAACGTTTTGGCATAATCACACACAAATACATAATCACAGTTGGTAACAGTTTCTTCTTCTGTACAATACAATTATATGTCACTGTGTCACCTCAACAAGATCGAAGTGACAAGCATCTGAGGTTGGCCACTGCCCAGTTTCCTTGCCAGTGAGGCAATGGTGTCCATAAATTGCTGTTGCTGTAAACTGTTCACAATGCCTTGTGAAAGCGCCGGGAACCATATGGTACCGTCTTCGAGCCTCAAAGCACCGTGTCGAACCAAATACATCACAGATGCCGCTGATGTTGTCCAACAAATTTGTCGCATCGCATGACATGACTCTGTCGGACACACACACATGGAGTCAAGTAGGGTTTTTAGTTGATCCGGCATTGTTACTGGAACTATACGCCAAAAGCGCAGCACTGTCGCTTCTGGCGCACAGTTACTGCCCAGTTTTCGACCACAGCGCAGAGTTAGTGAGATTTCTACGCAGTAACGTTTTCATTGGTTAAAATGTCAACGGACCGACAACTCCGCTTGGATTGACGGCTATCTAACCGTTTGCAAAGAATTTTGGGCAGACAAATATATTACCCTCTCAGATGGCATGCTGTTTAAGGAGCATCAACCCTAAACTCTGGGCGGAATTGTTTAGGGAGAATCAACCCTAAACACTGGGCGGATTTGTTTAGGGAGCATCAACCCTAAACATTGGGCAAAAGTGTTTCGGGTTACTGCCCTTTCCGACGGGTTTAAAATATTTCTTTTTATGGCTGCCATCGAGGGAGGCATCAACCCTAAACACTATGCGAATAGGTCTTTAGGATTGATGCTCTCTCTATATGGGCTTGAAAAATGTTAAACACCTGACTGAGTTAAACTTTTTTCTCTTACACAGAAGGCTTGTCGTTTTCAGAGATTTAGACCAATGAGCGTCGAGCTGCGTAGAAATCGCACCAACTCTGCGCTGTAATCGAAAACTGGACAGTAACCCTGCCCCAGAAGCGATGAAACTGCGCAATTGGCTTACAGTTTCAAAAACCGTGGTTTGTCAACTGAAAGCCCAGTCAAGTATGGATGTAACTAGGGTTTTCAGTTGACAACGCATGGTTTTTGAAACTACACCTCAAAAGCGCAGTATTGTCACTCCTGGGGCAGGGCTACTACCCGTTTTTCGTTTACAGCGCAACGTTGGTGCGATTTCTACGCAGTTCGACGCTCATTGGTCTAAATCTCTCAAAACGACAAGCCAATTGTGTGAGCGAAAACAGTTGAGCCCAGTCAGGTGTAAAGCATTTTTCAAACCTATATAGAGAGAGCATCAATCCCAAACATCCATTTGCATAGTGTTTAGGGTTGATTCTCCCTCGATGGCAGGCATAAAAAACATATGAAACCCGTCGCAAACACCTCCGCCAGTGTTTAGGGTTGATGCTCCCTAAACACTTTCCCCCAGTGTTTAGGGTTGATGCTCCCCAAACAGCATGCCATCTGAGAGGGTAATATGATTTTGTCTGCCCAAAATTCAG